TTGGTTCAATTGTTTTTCTGAAAAAGAAGAAGAAGATATTATCGATTTCAAAACTCCAATTCATCATAGTTTTATAGAAGAAAGAATATCTTAACTTCTGTATGGTTAATTAAACTCAGGAAAACATAAGAAAAAGTTATCAATTTTCATATAGAGTTTGAGGTTGTTTATCTAGAAAACGTTGAATGTTGAAGGCTTTTATGTTATCTGGTTTGCTTTATATCAAGGTTTGTGTGTTTGTATCACTGTGTCGTGCTTATCCCGGTAAAAAAATAATAAGATAGGTAGCATGAAGGTTAATGGGTTACTTGTACAGATATGTGATTCGTATCTATTTGAAAATAATAAAATATTGATAATATTTTATGAATTCGACATCTCTAACTAAATATAGTATTATTATTATTATTATTTTAAAAATTTGAATGCACTAAATAAAAAAGAGAGTAATTGCATTCTAAATGCGGAAATAAAGATGCAATAGGGAGAGAAAGTGATTAAAATAGTGTTTGTTTGAACAGTTTTGGAGGTGTGTGATGGGTTGGAGGGCAATTAAGAGGTGGAAGAATAGAAAGAGAAGTAGGTTTTGTTTTGTGTGGGATGTGGAGCGAAGACTCACTTCCAAAACTCTGCATTTGCATGTGCCTGTGTTCGATATACTTCCATTCTTCAATATTTACAATTAACTTGTGACCTTTTTATACAATTTCAGTCATTAATGTCTCACATTAAATATATGTATTTACAATATATAGTGATATCAATGTTAGAATCTAAGTTTATACATCACTGGATCAAATTTGTGGGGTTTGATGACATTATGGTATGTCCGTAAATTGATTATTGCTTCAGCCATCTTTTTTGTATGTTTTGTTGTTCAAAGTTTAAGTTTTTCCTTCTTTCAAGAAAATTAAGATTATTGTTAATATATGTTGTCCTGTGCTAAAAATTTATTCATAACATATACTTAATTTAAGTTAGTACATAATACTATATTAATATACATTTCCTAATGTTCCATCATAACATTTTATTCATAGTTATAATTTTCCTTTTAGAACTACTTTATAATATTCTTGTTTTTCTAAAATTAATAAGTAGAATTCGTGTTAAAGTAAAATATTAATTTCATCATTTAAAATACAGGGAAGTTTCGTTATAATTCCAAAGTTCAAATAATTAAAACAAAAATCTTTAAAAGTAATTTTAATATTTTACTGATGTTTTTTATTTCAAATAAGTTCGTACGTCTTATTATTAAAATGTAATGTTATGATAAAATATAATTTAGTATATATAATAAATTATGTTTTAATAATGATATGTAATAACATGACAAAAGATGAAAGTTAATTATATTCAATAATCATTTACTTACCGATAAGAAGCAACTAAAGTTCATTTTAACAGATGAAAAACTACCATTCAACCCTATATTAAAATATACTTATTCATTAAATTATGTATATTATTATTCATTGGTAGAAAATAATTTTTTTCATAATTTATTTTGAAATTTTTTTATGTAATCGTACACCATAGTATATAATATATATTTTTTTAAAAGATTTTTTTTTTATATTTGTATTCCAGTTTGTGCCAAAAATCCCACCCAAAGAATTATTGGTGAAATGTTTTTTTTTTTTTTTACACTTGTACACAAAATGTCATTGCAATTTTATAATATAAATGGGATTTTTTTTATCAATTCCTAACAAAATTCAATAATATATAATCAGTAAAATAAATAAAATTGAATTGCTAGTTGATACTTGGTGACAAGAGAGATATAAGATGACGACGAAATTGCGATATAATATTACGAAATAATAATAATATATTAAATAGTGGAAATAAAGTTTTATTAATATTGAAAGACTTCAAGAAATTTTTTCGTTGAACTTACTGCTCACAATTGGGCTAATTAAATAATGCAGTATTACTAAATTTTTTAGCATACGAAAATTAAAAATACGCACTCCTATTTTATCTTTTTTTTTTTTCTATTTGTCCTCATTTATTTATTTTTCAATTCAACATACAACATATTTTTTCTTGTTTATATTTATTTATTTGATGGGTAGAATTGCGTGGTGGCATTTACTCGTTACGTGTCACAAACAGAGGCAGCAACGTGTAATCTGAACATTGATCGTATTTTTATTTATCAATTAACTACTAATATTACAATTAATCAATGTTAAAGATTTTTTTAATTTTGTGACTGTAAAAAGTACGACAGAAGGGGACACAATTAATTATTAGGGGGAATATTCGGATTGATATCCGTTCATTGATACGTTGAGTTCACACATCTTGCTTAAAAAAGACTTTTAATAAATTAGTGTATATAAAAAAGAAAAAAAAACTTAATGGTATAAATTTTTTAATGGAAAAATTTATGATATAATTTTCCAATTAGCATATATTTATTGAAAAAAATAACAATTTACTAAAATCCTTACCTAAAACCTGAAAACCAACATGTTTTAATTATGAACCAGAAATGAGAAATAGAAAGTGACCTTAAATGTTGACAGTTTGGAAGATATTTGTCTTGTTGTGCAAAACAAATCCCTTTACGTTTATATATGAAGGACTCGTCTATTTTTGACACTTTTCTTCTCCCACTCAGATTTTTTATTACGCGTGGTCATACTTTCATTTAAAAAAAAAAAAAAATTGAATCAGAAATGGCATTTCCTGATTTTTTTATGACACGAATTAAAGTCGTTTTAAATGACAAAGAATTAATAATATTAATTTAGGTTTAATTTTTATTGTTGAAGAATTGCATGTCCTCTCTTTAAAATAAGGTAATTTGGAATTAATGTAACTAAGTCACGGTAAAATTTAATTGTGCGTAAAATGTAATGTCAATGGTTGAAACTTCAACCCTTCAAACTTTTATTTTAATACCCAATCACCGCCCAAAAATAAGGCAACCTCTCTTCTTTTCCTTTGTTTTTGAAAGGAACCATACCCACTACAAATAAAACTAATATCTCCTTTTTATCTTTTTTTTTTTATCTCACCAATTAAATTTCAATCACCAAACTCAAAATTATTAATTACACTAAATAGTAATATACCAATTAATTCCTTCAGTTATGGAACCAGGTAAAACACTCTTTCAAGGTTTAATGACCCAATTGAAGTCTAATAGATACAAACAAATGGTTTTAATAATTAAATATTTAAAATAAGAGGGATGATATTTTGACAATAATAAATTATATAATTTTTTAAATAATTCATTTTTATTAATATAATAATCTATAAAATATTTAATAAAAATAAAAAATAAATTAAAATTATTATTATAATATTAAAAAAAATTGTTTATAGAAGTGGTATGAATTTAGATTGTGAAAGTATCATTTTCTTTGAAATAATATTAAAAAGTATAACATCCTAATGTAATAAATAAATTTATAATTTTTTAGTATTTAAAAAATATATAATTTTTTAATATATATATATATATAAAATAAATTTATGATATTTAAATTTCAATAATATACATCAATATTTATCAATAATAAAAAATATATGGAGTAAAATACAAATATTTTATATCAATTATTATTTTTAAATTAAAATTCATAATTATTATTTTTTAATAGATTTGATCGGTTTTTGACAAGTTTTATTAATTTAACGTTAATTTTGTGTTTCACCAAAATTGTACTATAATCGGTTTCCAGTTCAATCGACTGTGGGAAAATATGCTTTAATTAATATTTTCCGTTTAACTATTTGTTTTTCTTAAACATTATTTTTCAATTTCTTAGTTTGGTGGAAAAAATAAAGATGAGAATATTAAAAATAATATTTAGTTTATATATATATATATATATTCTTAATTATTTAATATTAAAAAAACTAAAATTAATAGATTTATTTTTATTTTTCCATGTAATAATTATATAATATAGTCAAATATATATATTTTTTTACTTTGGTAAGATGTATTGTATTATTTTACATCTTGTAAACAATGTGTCAAACCTTGGAAATAAAGATTATTGGTAGACTAATTCTTGATTAAACATAATTACCTAACCAATAAAACATATGAGAAAAAAAGAAGAAGAAGCGGAGTAAACAATCCCAGACCCAGAGAGAGACAGAGACGAATGATTATAGAAATGTTACAGAATGGGGTGTTTTGTGTGACGCAGTAGAGGGAAGTGATTTCCATGGATTCCATTGTACTCCTACATATCTATTCTACATGTCCCGTTCTTCACACTTCATCATAAATTCGCACTTTCTAGAAACCAAAGCCAAGTCCCCTCTTCTCTTCTGTTTCTTTGGATATTTCTCAACCAAACCATTTCTTTTCTACCTTCCTCCGTCCATCCCCTTCCCATACTCTCCTCTCCCTCCTTCTTTCTGTTCACTTTTCTTTCTTCCACCTTTTCACTTCCCCTCACACAAATCCTCAAACAAAACAAACACCGGTTTCTCTTCAACACCAATTTTTTTTATAAAAGAAAATAATCCCTCGTGTCGTTTCTTTTAATTCTTGCGTGCCTTTGTTTGTCTCTGTTCCTCGCCTTCTTGGTTTAAGGTTAAAGCGTCAGCGTGTTATCTTTCCTTAAATGTCCAACAAAGAAGGCTCGCCTTGAGTTTTCTTCAAGACTTGGTTTATCAAACTACGGAAGAAAGAAAGAGAGAAAGAGTAGCCATTGTTTGTTTACGTAACTATGTGTTGAATTAGAAACATTTTATTGGCCATCTCACTGCTTGTTAAAACAGGGAAGTGGTTAAAGCAGATTAAAAAGACAGCTAGATTGATATTTTTGCGGGCAAAATTTCGGTGTTCAAACTCTAAAAAAAAGCAAGACTTTGACTCTTCCCTGTTGGGATTTCAATTCTCTTTCTTCTCCCTTCTTAACCTATCAATAAAAATTTCCCAACGTTGTTTCCCCTTGTCCTAGTTCTCATTGTGAGATTAGTCGCCGTAACTCTTTCAATCTCTTTCCTCTGACACCATGATTTTCGATGAAGGGTCAATGCAATCTAAGTCTAACCTGGACTGCTTCCTCCGCCGTACGACACCTGTTGTTCCGTCTCAGTTTCTTCCCAAGGTGTTACTTTTGTTTTTATTTTTCTGTTTACTGGTTGGTTTCATTGTGTTCTGGGTTCCCTTGCTGTGATCGTGGGTTGTCTCTGATCCTGAGCTTTTGTTTTTTCCGACAGCACGAGATTCGAAACCTTAACCGTTTGTGGCACCCGTGGGAGAGAGAAGCGGTTGAGTACTTCACTTTGGGCGATCTCTGGAATCGGTTCGACGAATGGAGTGCTTATGGAGCTGGAGTTCCCATCTCCTTGTCCAATGGGGAGACACTTGTACAGTACTACGTTCCTTACCTTTCCGCAATTCAAATATTCACCAGCAACACTTTCAGGTATGTCCCGCACACGAAGATAATCAAGATACAAATGTTGTGGGGCTGTTCAATTTTTGTACTGCTGATCGTATCAAGGTCCAAGGGTTTTTTCATCGATGTCCCATATAAGCAAATTTTATCTCCAAATGGAACTATTTGGTACTGAACGAATGTGACTCGATTGGCAATACATGTAGATTTTGTGGGAAGAACTTAAATTCGATTTCTACATAATCCATCTTCAGAAAGAGTTTTAGCTTTTTAAGTGTAACTAATTGTTGGCCAAATATTAAAAGGGTCACTGAATTTGATTTTACAGACAACAGATTTAAGTCTACTCGAGTTTCGAATCGTAGATTAGTCTCATAACTGATATACAAGGTCAAAGCTTACGAAAATACTCAGATGTTCCACTACAGAGTGGTTATAAATATGCGAATATTTGGTGTCGTGATGTAAATGTTCTCGTGGTCGAAGTTTGTGAGTGAATGTTTTGGTTTCAAGTGATTTTGTGAATTATATTGTGGTTGGTTCAGGGCTTGATGATTGAACGGGAACATGGTGCATAGATTTGAATTGGGTGTGTTTGTTTCAGGGAAGAGACAGAATCAGGTGAGTGTGAGACAAGGGATTCGTACAGCGATTCCTACAGTGAAGAGAGTGAGTGTGATAAGCTATGGAGGTGGGATGGAACTTCATCAGAGGAGGGAGGATCTGAGCATGATTGTTTGTGGCACATGAATGACCGCTTGGGTCACCTTTACTTTCAGTATTTTGAAAGATCAACTCCATATGGCAGAGTCCCTCTAATGGATAAGGTGCGTTGTTTTGTTCTTGTTGGCCATTTCTGACTTTTGCTTCTTTTTCATTCGTTTCTTATTTCTCTTACTTGATGCGCTGAACAGCATTTGGTCTCATCTATATTTGGATTCTGATTTTGGTGTTCCTAATGAGATGAGAACCCACAGATTAGGCATAAGGAGGGAATAGGGAACCTTCTTTTTTAGAAGGTGTGTTATAATCACCAAAATCTCTAGTGATAGGGCATCCATAAAGGTTAACTGTGACTTTTGACTTGTCAATGTGAATCCGGAGAACTCATTTTTCTCTGCTCATAATCATAACATAGCACTTCCAACTCCAGTCTATGCTATCTCTTTCTTCTGTGGAACCCTCTTCAGCGTAATTAAATTATAATTTTTATACTTCTTCAGCTTATGTTCTTCTTCCAAAATCTTGTGCTGGATGTAGTTTTTCACTTGTCTGTGTTTTGATTCTCGTGATCCTATTAAAAAGTACCTTAATTTGGATTAGCATATATTTACATCAATCCTGTATGAGTTTTGTTATTAAATTAAATCTTAAAAATACAAAATAGGAAGAGTTTTATCCAATTCAACGACACTTCCAGAAATTATGGGTACAAAATAAAAATCATTGAAGAAACAAAACCGTAATAAAGTTTCTGTTCTTATATTTTCCCTTTTGTGAATAGAAATTTAAATATTTGCAAAATCAATTTCATGACAAAAATATTAAGGCTTCAACATTAGAGAGTACATGTGATGGTGGTGGAAGTAATGTAACAAATCACGGAGATTCTGGTATGTTATACCATGAAAATCATTTTTTTTTACATGTGTACATGGTAACAGAACATGTGTGATTAAGATTAATTTGGATCCAGATTTTAATCACGTTCAATGGACCCCACTCGGATGCTGACCAAATATTTAATTTTTTTTGTTTTCAGATTACTGGGTTAGCAGAAAGATACCCAGGGTTGATGTCACTAAGAAGTGTAGACCTTTCCCCAGCAAGTTGGATGGCAGTTGCTTGGTAATTAATATTCTCTCTCGCATTCTTGAACATGTTGCGTAGTAAATTTTCCCCTTTTCAATGAAATTCTGATTCTTATGGGTAAACAAATAAATTTGGAATTGATTTCAAGAGGTACCCTTAATGCGAGGCATTCCAATGGAGTTTGAGCATTTATTATGATACAAGAACAATTGATGGATGGATGAATGGAACTTTTTATGGCTACTGTTTTCAGGTATCCCATATATCATATTCCCATGGGGAGAACAATTAAAGATCTCTCAACATGCTTCCTCACTTACCACACACTTTCATCTTCGTTCCAAGGTAGTATTCATCGATTATCCCTGTGTAACAGTAGATAATTAAGTGGAAGTTTTACTGATGATGATGATGATGATGATGTTTGATAGATACGGAGGTTGATGATGATGCGGAGGGAGGACAGGAGAAGAGGAAAGAAGGTGAAGGAATTTCGGTGGCAGCATTTGGTTTGGCCACGTATAAGATGCAAGGGAATTTGTGGGTCTCGGGGAATTGTGGTAGGGACCAAGAGAGAATTGTCTCACTGTTGAGCGTGGCAGATTCATGGTTGAAGCAACTAAGGGTCCAACATCATGACTTTAATTACTTCATGGGCGTTCGCCATGGCTACGGCAATTAATGCACTGCTTTGCAAGTTGACTTGTACAAATTACTAATCCTCTTTTTTCGGATGTTCGGTTGTTGTGCCCTTGCTTGGACCATTAATTGCACGCCCTTTTTGCTTTTGAGTGTGGTTAGCAACGAGGATTTGTAATTGTAATTGTATTTGTAAGATTAGGACAAGCCATGCCCTTGTAAAGGGTAACCCTCAATGAATTGACTCCTTTGAATGTAGAGTGGTAGGTGGGGAGGCCATAGTTACCTACTAAGATGATGCCAGACTGAGACTGAGACTGCATACAACTTTGTACTTGGATTTTGTATGTATCTATGAACGAATGAATGAATCAATATGCTATTGACCGAACGATGAGAACTTTAGTTGAGACGTGGAATGTTTCTCTAACTGCCACCTGTCCATTGCCTTTTGTTTGCAAATAGATAAGCATCCCATGTTGCCATCCACATTTGTTTATTATAATCGTTGTTTTCGTTTGGTTCCAAGAAAAAAAAAAAAAGAAAAAAAAAAGAGGGTTAAAGAATGTAATCTAATGAAGAGGGGGTGCATGAGAAATGAATGACGGTTGTGAGCTTTATTTGCGCGTGGACCCGTCATAGGATCATGACATTGCACATGGAGTAGCTTAAATGTGCTTTTATAAAATATGGTTGTAATTTAACCATAAATATCCTCACCTAAATATTCGACCCAAAAATTATCAATTCATTTCATAATTTACCCACTTCCACGTGCGGTTTTATGTAGCCGCGTAAGCTTCTCCCTACTAATTTTTTTTTTTAAATTTAACTTTTAATTTCTTGGGAGTGTTTTTTATAAATACTAATTTACCTATATTTGTGTAATTCTACTACAAACGTCTTTTATTTAAAAAAAACATGAGAAAGTGTAATTTATTTATTTATCTTATGTAGCCTAATGAAATAATTGTACAATTAATGTTAATGCTACATCAACATTGTTAAAAGGTGAAAATGTCTAATTAACTTGTGCCAATATTTTCCATTCTATTTAAAATCCAAAACATAATCTTTAAGGCCTTAATTATGATTAGAAATCAAACCTAATTCATTTAATCACAAATTTAATATCTAAACCGTAATACCTTTTTCTTTTTCCTTTTTCTTCGAGCAACCCAATCACCGTGGAAGCTATTTTTCTTCAAACTCCTCCACCTAAAGTCACACTCATCATATTTTTATGTATTTTGGCACTTTCCATATCCATTTTTTTTTTACTTTTTGAAAAATAACTATTGTAAAAACGAACCCACTTATCATATATATTAATTCGTAGCTGAATAAATATATAGTGCAAAAAATCTTAAAAATATTTATTCATTGAATATGCCTAATTAAATGTATATTTATTCATTGGATATACAAGTCATAATCTACAAATGTAACAACTTGTGTAGGTTTGGAACATACATAGTCATAGTTTGTTTAATAGTAGATTTTAAGGTTAGTAAGTGGCTATGACCCCAGATTTGTAGGCCCAGTTTTAACTCACGTAGAAAATAACTAAAATTTAAAACATTTTAACTATTTTAAAGTAAAAAAGATGTTATCGTAATTCTTATAAGTAGGCATACATGCTTTTGAATGTTACTCTATTTAAATACCTTTAGCATTTAAATTTCACTTTTGTTGACTATTTCATTATGAGAACGTTGATTAATAACAACAACAATTGGGTTAAGATTAGAAAATTGATGAAGTTTATATAAAGATACATTTTGAATAAAATGGATCCGAATGTAGGAAAACCAACTCTTAAAACTATGAAAGTTGGTGTAGATATTGCAACAAGTCAAAAGCAATATATACGTCGTGACAGATAACTGTCCTTTGGTTGAAGTTGTTTTGTCTTAAATCATAGAAAAATATAGTGACTTCTTAGTGTGATTAAAGGGGTTCTGAAGCCTCCATTTTCAATGAAAAGAGCATGTTGTTCAGCACTTAGATGTGAATGATAACAAAAAAAAAAAAAAAAAAAGAAAAAAAAGTGACCTAAAATTGAGAAACAAATTGGAGGAATGGGACATTACAGTGGACTGATGCCAAGATTATAACCACCAGCACTTTTTAAGTGAGAAAGGCATCAATTTGATGGTTCAAAGTTGAGAGTGGTAACAACCAACAAACCCATGACCCATGCAATCACTAACACATGGGTTATGGTCCTCAAAGTCAATGCATCAGTATCATGTAGCTGTTTGGCACTTCACTTGTAGATTTCATTTCATCATTTTCATAACCCAACTTGGATCACACAATTTTGGCAAATGCCACGTCATATACCACAAAATTCCTTCACACAGGTCTTTTCTTTCTAAATTAGAACATCACTGTTTAATTAAACTCTACATTTATAAATTTCTCTTAAATTTTCCACTCTAACCTATCTTATAGTTTTAAACTGTATTTGACAAATCATTTTACCTAAATTTGATAAAGACTATATCAGCTTGTAACACAGTTTTGGCATTACTTAAATTAATGGGTAAACTTAAGAATTCTGACTTATTATCATTTTCTCCATTTTAATTACTTACAAATATTTTTATTAATATTGTTCATTACCATCTTATTTAACATCATATTACTTATCTTAATATAAAACCTCCTTATTTAATAGTATTCTGTTTATTTTAAATTGTTGTAAGTTTTTTTAGACAATGCTCAAAATTGACTAAACGTATAACCATAGTTAATAAAAAAAATTATCCACAGAATAAAAATGATATAAAAATACTTTTCTGTCACTTTAAATTTATTAATGAACTAAAAGTATTTATAAAAAAGTACTATTTAATAAATTTGTTTATCTGTAAATATGATTTGATCTCCAAAACAGTATTTATTAATATATATATATATATATATATATATATATATATATATATATATATATATATATATATATAAGCATCTAGACTAGTTTATTCACAAGATGAAAACAGTTTTTAAAAATTTTTCTTCAATTATTTTATTTTTTAGTAAATAGTGTATTTGGCAAAAGAAACAACATACTTTTTTAACTTGTTTGACTAACTTTATTAAATGTTTGTTTGGTAACTCATTAACTTATAAAATTCTTTTTAAACATTTCTTCATGCATAAACAATAATTATTTTTTATTTTTATCCTTACAATTATTTATTTATTAATTATTATACCTATTTTGTCACTACAAAAAAAAAGCCTATTACCTACGGATACAAATCCGTAGGTAAATTTTACATTACCTACTGGATATTACCAACGGATGAAAATCCGTAGGTAAATTATATTAAACTAAAAAAATTGTCACTAGCAAGAATCGAACCCGATACCTTAAAGTTGAAAACTGATACTCCAACCACTAAACTATTAGGATATTCTACTAATAAATTACAACTAAATTATACTTATATTTATTCGTGTAAATATATAAATACATAAATACATAAATATATAAATACATAAATACATAAATATATAAATAGATAAATATATAAATATATAAATACATAAATCCATAAATACATAAATACATAAATATATAAATATATAAATATAAATATATAAATATATAAATATATAAATCCATAAATCCATAAATATATAAATATATAAATATATAAATATATAAATATATAAATATATAAATATATAAATATATAAATATATAAATATATAAATATATAAATATATAAATATATAAATATATAAATATATAAATATATAAATATATAAATATATAAATATATAAATATAAATATATAAATGCAAATATATAAATACAAATATATAAATATATCAAAATATAAATATATTTTATATTTATATATTTTATATTTATATATATTTTTTATATTTATATATATTTTATATTTATATATATTTTATATTTATATATTTACACGGATAAATATAAATATAATTTATTTGTAAATTATTATCAAAATATCCTAATAGCTTAGTGGTTGGAGTATCGACCTCCAACTTTGAAGTGCTTGGGTTCGAATCCTGCCAATGAGAATTCATTTAATCTAATAATAATTCAAAGTTCGAAAATATAATAAATAATAAAAATATAATATAAAAGGGATTTTAATAAATAAAAATATTTTGTTTAGGTGAGTGCATTACCTACGGATTATAATCCGTAGGTAATTACCTACGACCAAATTACATACGGATTTTTTACGGAAAGAAATCCAGTAGGTAAAGTGACATTACCTACGGATTTTACCCGTAGATAATAAGCATTTTTTTTGTAGTGTGTTTAAAATTCCTTTAACTTAATTTTACATATCAATCCAATAAACAAAGTTATCATTTAACTTAATTTTTATTATTTCATTCCATTTAGTAAATAAATTTTAAAATAAGAATAAAATTAACAAATATTGTTCTAACTTTTATGATGTCCTCTCCGTATAAAAATTAAAATAATTATCTAATAAATTTTGTATTTTTCTAAACCTTGTGGACACATATGATAGAAATTATCTTATTTTTTTCATAAGTTTGAATTATGTTTGGTCAAATTTTAGGTACTTTTCGATATATTTAGGATGTAGAAGTGTGTTTAGTTATAATATAGTTCTAATTTTGACATTTTTGGCGTGGGAAATAAAACATGAGTGGAACAAGTTTTGAAGATTTATTGTAGATCAAGTGACAAATCTTTCTTCAGTCACACAAAGTCTCGTTCAATTTAAATATTTTATAGTATGATTAAATAGAAATACTATTTGAATATTTAATTTATTAATATTTCTGAAATAAATTTAAATTTATCATATTATTAATTCAATTTACCTAACATAACTACTTCCATTTTGATGTCTTTCGATATAAAATGTTTTTTCTATAACATTTTGGGACCTTACAAGTTGGAGTTCTTATTAACACAATAAACTTTAGTAAACTTGGTTTAATCTAAAAGTGAGGTAGAGTGAATCAAAATAACCTGAGATATTTGCAAGTTATATTGATCATATTATGATCAATAACACCGTTGATAATACACTTATAAACCCTTTTGTTTTAGCTTCATAACGTATTGCAAATCCGAGTTGAGAGAAAGAAAAAGAAAAGATTTTCTGTTATCGTAGTTGTTTCAGATAGAGATGAAGATGTAGTCTCACATTTTTGTCAGTATGAGCCGTGATGTTATAGACGTCATAACTGAGGGTATGTGGACAAATACAGTGATTGAAAATGGCTCACCTAGTATACATATCCAGCTATAGCACTGGATGAAGGATAATGGATATGGATAGGTCTCAATGGTGGACATGAATATACGCTTTTAATGCTTGTACACCAAGTAAAGCAGAATTCCATCTTCTTCTCTTTTGCCATGCTACTATGATGAGTTTGATGAGGTCACAAAAAAGAAGTTCAATGCTCTGTGGTGAACCCAATCCACGTCAATCTCTTGTGTTACCCTATTTATGTATATATTCCCATGAGTATCGAATGTTCTTCACCAACTTTAAGCACGTAACATCATGGTATGCGACCTTTGTCAAACCATTCCTGCATCATGCTGAGTAATTATGATCAAGTAGTAATTATAGTTACGATTCCTAGTAACTAAAAACTCCTTCAAGGGACAAAATTTTGACGGACAAGTGTAAGCATGTCTTCTAAATGCATACGAAAATTAATTCTTACGTAAGCAATATGAGTGAATAGAAGTGTGACAAGTAGAAGCAATCATGTTAAATTAGTGCTCCACCCTTTACACATCTTTTTATAGTATTGCAGCATTCCAAAACTGTGTATGATATAACGAAAGCTAGCTAGGTGTCACTTGTAGATGCTAGTTGAAGGATTATCCGAGAAAAATGGAACAACAAAACAAAATTATAACAAATGGCGTTTGCAATAGCAGAATACAAATCAGAAGGTCATTGTCTCGTTAACAATGATAAGTTGGACTTAAACTTAAGTCATTCATCAGTGTCAGTTCCACTATGTATTGACTCTGTTTAAATATGTAGAGACCATGTCCATTAGAGTTTGAAAATCATGCAATATTCTCTTGCAGCAATAGAATTCAGTAAACATAGCAAGAATTCAGAAAAAGATAGGGAAAAGAGGTAGGAAATTTCAGCCAATCTTCAAATAATCTGGTATTCAAATTCTATAAGTAATTAAGATTGGTTTCTGATGTTTAAATTTAATAATTTGATTCTTGACTTCTAACTGTCATTAATTGTTCTTGTGACTAAGACGGTCAAATTCATAAACCATATCATCGATAACTGTCAACTTTTAGAATTAAATTGGTTTTTATATTTCAGTTAGGAATCAATGGTTTTCTTTAAGGAATCAAATTAGTTAGCGGACTTTGTTAATTTTCAGTGTGTTTGGTTTAAAAAGAAAACAAAATTGAGAGAGGAAGAATTTTAATTGAAGAGAATAACCACAAGATAGAATTTAGATAAAAAAATAATATCGGAATTGAAATTAGAAATTTCCTTATTTCTGTTTTACAAAATATCGAACAGCAGGATTATTTGATTAGATCTGGAACTCAATGTCTTCATATTCAAACTTTTGCTGCACTAATGGAAGCATAAATATGCATAATTTGCTTGAGGCATGATATTTTTTCAAAAATATAATAAATATGCAGAATCTTGATCAGTTAACTTTTTTTTTTTTTTTTTTTCATGTCTGTTTACTGATGATGGTGATATCAATGGATTACGATTGGTTAAGTTTTATAAGGCATAAGCTTGGCCTGCTCTCAAATTTAAGGCTTAACCCTAGTTTCTTATAAACATAATCGGACCATTGAAAACTTATTTAAAAGTCTAATCAATACTAAGGCCTCTCAAAGAGGTGAAAAGTTTAGATAGATTACAGGGACCAATTAACGATATGGGATAATTATGAATGTTCAAATAATAGAAGTGTTAACACAAAGATAATGTAAATTAATTAATTTCTTAAGTAGTTTTAAACTATTCATTTTAACTATTCATAAGTAGTTGGACTAGGCAACAAAAATTTGTTAAAACCTGTTACAATCAAACCAAATTAATCAATGTAACCACATTTTTTCAGGTAAGTGAATTAACCTTTGTATTGCAAATGCAAGCCCCTTCTAACTTCATCAATATTATATCTTCAACATTTTAATCCAATTTTCTTTTGAACCGTTTGATAAGATGGTTTGTCACAGATTCTCTCTTTCCTTTCCCATAAGGATTAAGGAATTCCAAAATAACTGCAATTTTATGCTTCTCAAAACGCCCCTTCAATGTTATTATCTCATTTATCAAATTTCAGCTATAAAGAACTACGAAGGTTACTCATATAAATTGACTCAGAAGATAAGTAAAGTCCTGCAGTTCATTGAGGATAGACATTGTGTGCAATACTTACAAAAATTATGCCAATTGGAATTCTTTGATTATGGACTGAAGAGGAAGAATTAAGTTAATGTTACATCAGATTGTAAGCAGGCAGATCTTCAATTTTGTTGATGTCTTCTAAGGATAGCTCTCTCTCCAATTGATTTCGTGTTGCTTGTAGAACATCCTAAGGCCATGGGATAATTGGAAGTGTCAATGCATTGCAAAAATTGAGAAGACCAAACAACATGCTAGTGTGTGTCAGATAGTCATTACTAAAGCAGTTTCTGAAGAAGGTATAAAAAATATGGAAAAAAGTCTGAGTACCAACATCAAGTGAAGAGACCTCCTCACTTTCCCCAGTTACAATTTTGGTTTATTAATCGTTAATAAATTCCAGGGTTCTCTCCAAAACTTGTTCTCGTTGTTCCTAGAGAAGTTTTAGTGTCCTTGTTCCATAACAGAATATAGCAGTTCTCTTACTGTAAGGAAAAGCAATCATAATAAGTTGTGGAAAGACCAGATATTTTGTAAAAAAGTGGCCTCCATATCGAAGTTCGTGCTATTTCAAAACTCTAATTTAACAGGGAAAATTGCAGTGTACCAAATGACATCCACACCACTCTACTTTAGAAAGCACATCAACCCCTTTTTGTCTAGCATCAAGAAAAGATGTGTTTGTTTGGTGGGTATTTGGAGCAGGAGATTATCAGAAATGTAACTGAATCAATCATATAAAAAAATATAATACAACTTTTAACCTAAAATCTTAAGTAGGTGTCTTTTTTATTTATAAATTACTCAACTTTTTCATTTCTACGATTTCAAACTCACTTGAATTCTAATATAACTTGATAAATTAAATTAAACAAAATAAGTAGTGTATGTGTCACTTTAGTAAATATATAAAAGAGATGAGTATATATTTAAAAACTAAGAGTATGAGTGTTGTTTGAAAAGAACACAGGAGAAGTGAGTATAATTTTTCCTTTAATCTATTTCATTTTATTTTTCGTTTTCATGCTGTTGAAAACGTTGGAGGCCCAGGAGGGAAAATCACGGTGAATTAGAGATGCAGAAAACATGGAGAATAAAAAGCATACGTTAAAGTCCATGTAGGAAGCATGCATAGCCAGCCATTGTGCATCCACCATCTCAAACGCTATACAGTATAGAACATCGAATGCTTCTTCATTTTCTGCAGTAAGATGCAATGAGAATCATGAACATTTGAAGGAGTTAAACATCAAAAAAGAAAATATATGATGTACCACACCTCCTAATAACTTGACAAAATTCATGCCTGGAAGACATCGTGGCTTTTCTGCAAAATACAAACTACATTTAGTGAAAACTTTATTAGAAAATGTACTTTGGTTTCTCACTTTTGATAAGGGGAAATATATTTAGAAACACCAAAAGGTCAAACAATAAAATCATTGCTACGACATTAATACATAAAGTTAAAAAAATGATGACCAAATGCAGTGCATGTTATGACTCATGTCATATCTGTGTCTCACAATGTGTCTCATAATGTGTCCCTACTTTCTAGCACTTTTCCCAAGTGGGTGAAGTGGTGGACTAGTTCAGCGGGCTACCCTTTACTCTTTCTACTAGCAGAATCAGTGGAATGATTAAAGCATTGTGAAATAGTACACAAACCTGAGCATAAATCCAACATCTGTATCAACATATGTGATATATTAATGCCAGCAACAGCAAATGGATACTCCCAGGTTGCTCTCTTTCCATCTTTCTTCAGTAACAACCTGTGAAAAGATGCCTTCATTTGAATATCCGTAAAATTAGTAATTACTCATCTTTACTGCCCTCATAGATATCAAGAAACTAAAATGAGAGGACATAAAGGCAGATCATGTTCTTTTAGGTGTGTTGAATTGGAGACACAAATGCATACCGGAAAATTCCTCGCGAAAAACAGTAGATTTTCAAGGGAAATGAAGCCACATCCCCTGAGGAAATCAGGATATCAGACACAATACCTTGGAATAGAAAATTTTGACGTAAAGCATAATGCATTCTCGTTAAGTGCGTTTAAATTACTAATCTGAAACTATGAAATCACCACATCAATTAGTTTTTGAACCTCGTTAAAGATAAGGAATGAATCCACACTCTTTAAGTCTCTATGAATAAGTGCTTCCATAATAGATTCCGTTAACTAATCAGAAATTATCAAGTCACCGTATTAATTTGCGATCCTCAAAAAAGATACTGAAAGATGTCTCTTGATGTTCTCTTTTGTCATGCCCTTGTGTGTTTAAGGTACAAGGAATAAATAGATCTCCCTATCCGGAATTTCATCCGTAGTAGTTATCTAATAAAACTGATACGTAAAGGATCATCATATTTCTATGAAATTAAATTATTTGGTATAATTCTGTCCCATAAATAAAAGATTGGTTAAATGTTAGCAAACAAATAGTGAAATTTTTTTTATGCAACTAAAAACCTTAACAATGGCACCATTTTCGTTACATTTACAGCAGACTCTTTCACAAAAGAAAAATGACCAAAATGTCATACGAGCTTTCATAAAAGCATATCTCTGTACCTAAAATCAGTCGATGGATTAGGACCTTGCCATCCCATATCTTTCCATTGGTCAGATATTAGGCCTTCCAGAGATACATTAGGAAAGGAACAATTCCACAGAGCTCTCAGTGATTCCTGTTTGAAGTCAATGATATTGTTAGTAAAACGTGATATTGACATAACAAATAAAAAGTTGAAAGTATTCCTGAACTTCAGGATAGAGCCTGTCTTTCTATGAACCAGAAATGAAACTTGAGTTTGATAAATAAAGAGGCAAATAGGTTCACAAAAAACAGATGTACTTGATGATCGGGGCGAGTCTCATCATAAGGTACTTGCAGCCGTTCTTGAAGTCTTTGAAGTCTTTCCTCCTGACATAATCATATAAACAATTTAAGCTCATCGAATCTGAAATACACAGGACTCAAACTGCGGGAAAATTACTCAAAAAATAGAAGGGAATTTCAACAAACAACCAACTTCCATTTTACCTCAACAGGACTCAAAGAATAGTCAACGAATTTGTCATTTCGCTTAGTGTTTGTGCGGTGAAAGAGTCCTCCTATCCATGATCGTGATCCAACCATAGCATTAGCTACATTCAATAACATATCAATCAGCAGTGGAAGAAAATTTGAATGATAAGTAACGCTGCCACAGGACAGAATCATCAAGTGGCTGTGTTGTTAATTCATTATATACTTTGACATACTGAATTTCATAACTGAAAAAGCTCTTCTATTGCATTCTGCAAATGTTAAGTGCTTTCGGATGCTAATACAGAAAACAGAATGCAGAAGACGCATTCCTTTAAACTGACTTTTGCAAGAAAGTCCTAGAGAATTAAGATGTGAATCTTAGATAGAACAAACCAAGCAAACAAGCTCATTTTTTTCTGTTTGAAAGGCAGTGTTACACAACAAGTCCAGTCCTTACACTTCAATTTCAGGTTAATCATTGATGGGAAGGGTTCTTTAATTTCATATGTTGAATTGAAATCAAGAATGCTCCCAAATCAAAACTTAACCCTTGTTGATAGAAACTAGGAAGCTATATCAGCATATTAGAAGGATGATGTCCTTATGGAAGCATGAAAATCTGATAATTTAAGTAGTTTACAGGAACTGTCTGAAATTTCTCACAATGTTCAGTAACCCTCCACATTCTCATTGACTCATAACATCAATCAATTAACATATTGGTTTGTAAAGAAAAGCATAAATGTACAGAAACAGAAAGAGATGGAGATAAACAAATCTACTCACTAAAACATTGGGTCAACTGAGATATTAAGTGGGTGGAATTAGGTGTCCATTCCAACTCTTCATCTTCCTTTCTGTGTCTCCAATAAATCTCATCCTCGTCAACCTGCATTTCAATTTTGAAAGCATTCTTGAGCAAAGAGTAATGGTGTAAAGAGAACAAGAGCAACTTGTCAACGTATCAAAACTATTGACAAATTTCAATTCCATGAATTTAGATGAATGAATCATCGCATGCTATCTAAGTGCTTAGAACAATAAGTCAGGGAAAAAAATTGTTTTTGTTTTTGAACTTATCAAGAAGAAATTCTTCCAGTTCCAGAAGCCATGATGAGAAGAAGAAACAACTACACAAAATGCTATTGAACTAAACGGTAGATAAGCAAACGCGGAAAACACCAGAGACTACATCAGTGTCAAGATCAAGTTACGGAAAATCCAAGTGCAAGTCAATAAACCGTATGATAATTTATTTAAATGCATTACATTTAGTTAAAAAGAGACAGCTTATGAATGACACAACAGTTCTTTAATTCCTTTGGAGACTCTACGTTATAAACATTTTTCTTAAGGCGAATTTTCAAACATGAAGTTTGAGATAGAGAGATATGAGAAAACAATGGTGAATTTACTTTGCGAAGAGAGGAACAAGAGGGAAAACATCGTTTACGCTTCCTCAATCTCATGAGGGTGCAACGAGGAACAAGATTCTTTCAACCTTTTTTCCTTAACCGAAAGCAAAAAAGAGAGGAAAAGACAAATCCATTTTGAAACAAATGGGTGACCTATGATTGCACTCAATTCATGCACCCTCTCCTATAATTCAACCTCCCCATCATTCCTATGCTGTTTACCCTCTGATTTCCCTGTAGCAATTACTAGAGAGAGAGAAGGAAATAAAAATAAATAAACCAAAGTGGCAACATTATTGGAGGCCAAACCTGAGGTTACAAAAGCCATAATAATAACACGTTGAAATAGAAGGACAAGCATATAACACAGGGGTCTCTCTTTTGGTTTAACTTTATGCTGTAAAGAAGTTAGGGATGCAAAAGAAGATTTGAAAAGTAGGGGTGGGTGTCTCTGCTCTGCCTAGCATTGATTTTTGCTTTTCTAGCCCACCAGCTTTTCATACAAGACAAGCGTGATATCTGTCCTATTAAGGTAAAGCATAGGAATAAAGACATGTAATGTATATGTAGTGTAACACAACACAGTGCAATGTGACATTGAAATATAGATAAATATAATGAAACAAACCTGCTATGTGATGTTATGGTATCTGAGAAGAGGTGGCAGTGGCTGAAATGTTGTAGGTACTTGGTGGCGTTAAAGTCAGAAAGAGAGGAGTAGAGGGAAGTGGTGGGGCCAGACGGAGGAGGGAACATGGGAAGTGGAAAAATGGCATTTTGTCTGAGAATGAGTTTTGCACTGAGGAAGGGACTTGTGTAGTGTTTGTGTGGCTTTGGACGCCATACATTTTCCCCATGGCTAGCCTATATACCTTAGCTCTCGCTGCTGCTCACAGTAATTCCTTTTGTGCTTCTCTTTCTCATGCAAGGGTCCAAATAGTAGCATCCATATTTGACATGATTCCACGTGAAATCAAAATATTCTAAATATGTTGTAATGTTAGTAGTATTCAAAAGAAATTCAGCCATGTTGTTGGAAACGTCAAGGATGATGGTGTTCACGGTCCAACCAATTCAAAGGTGGTTGACGAATGGGCATGTACCAAAACTGCAATTGATTCAACCTAGTAAATGTGGCCATGTGTCAGAACAGTATATGTGGACTTGTATGACTGTATCCAAAAGCCCATCTATGTTGTAAGTTAGGACTTGTGCACTTTGGTGGGCCAAACTTGTAAGACTTGTTAACACAACATTTAATGATTTATTTATGTTGAAATCGTATAGTAGAATTAGTAGTAAAATATAGGGTTAATATTATGAGAAATGAGGATTTAAATTTAAAATAAATATAAAATATAAAATTATATATTTTATGACATAAAAAAATTAATTATAATAATAATCATATTAATAATAAAAATAAAAATAATTAAAATAATTATAATATTTTAAATTATATTAATAATTATAATTTTTATTTAAAGATAGTTTAATTATTGTCAAAAAAATTTATTAAAATATTTCGTTTTAACATTCACTTCAATCAAACTTTTTGAAATTTTACGCTAACGTTTCTCACAAACTTTTTCTTAATTTATCATTCAAAACAATTGCATAGCTGCAACCTTCACACGAAAGCTTCCATTTCAACCTGTTTTGGGGCTCAAGCTAATGCAGGTGCATGCAGCTCTATTCCTTTAGAAGTTTTTGTCTATATGTGCTTCACATCTGCAGAATATACAAGATTTTAACGAATTCTATCAGAAAACGTGTACTTATTAAATAACAGCTGTAAGAGAAAAGGGTCTAGAACGTAACAGAAGCAATGGCCACATCATGTATGACTATGAAATGGCCTATAAATAGGTAACCATGCTTCACTTGAGCCTTGGCACAACTAAACTATTAAGGTACCTTTTTCTCTTACTCTTCTACAACATTAACATTTGATTCTTCTTTTAGAGCTACGTTACTCGGCCTCGTTATTCAAGAAGTTTGGTTGTACTTTCAAGTCTTGAAGGTTAGGCCATTAAAACCAGCGCTCAAAGTTTTCCGGTGTTTTGTGGTCTATTAGTTATCTCCTCTATGTACTAAGTAATATACTTTGTCAGTTCTGGAAATATGTAAGAGGAAGGTTATCTTGTATACAATGCTTCAATCATATTACTAGTGGATATGAAATATAGAAGGATAAAAAGCAAGTTGCACACCAGAAATATCATTCATTACTTAACAGCAATAGATTCTTCACAACTGCACACCACTCATTAGAGGGAACATATACATATAACCCATATGAACCCAGCATTACTTGGTGGTGGGCATTTTTTTACTTTTATTTAGTAGACAAACGTAAGGGCTTGAGGAACCCACATGATATAACACGAAGATCACAAAGCTGTTAACAACAACAACAATAACAAGTGCCACATGCAGAAGTGGCTTTTTCAGATTGGAAACGCCTCAATGAGGGAGGGGAAAGCGTGGATCTTGATGATATTGTAACGGGGGAATCCTGCTTCTTTGAATAGTAACTTCCAATTCTCTTCGGTCCTCTCTTTGCCACCAGCGTTGTGAGCGAGAAGAATCATGTCAAACGCAAAGCCAGCGTCGGTGAAGAGCTCGTTCCCTTCCGGTCGAAGCACATGATCCACGATTATCACCTTTCCTGTCTTCTCTGGTATTGCCTTCCTGCAGTTCTTCAAGAGCTCGATGCATTGCTCGTCGGTCCAGTCATGCAGAATCCACTGCATTCATCGTAAGAAATATTTGGAGGTAAGTCCACAACATGTTCTCAATTTATATCATTAAATAGTATATCCACTAAATTAGGAGTTTGATTCATTATATAGAAAATTGGATCCTTACCTAGTGAGATATTCTCTCTTTAATATTGCCATATAACATGATAAGATTTAAATTCACCAGATAGTGAGTCATAGGTTTGTTCACTGTGATTCATTATATTTATCTTTATTGTGAGAAATGATAATTGTAGTGATGATAGTAGTTACGTTACAGTTATAAATACCATAATAACTTTGACATTCTGGTCACAAACCAAGTTTTAAAACCTTGTATATGTTAGGCATTAGCGTATGCGTTATGGGAAGATATGGCATTTAGTTTTTGATATACCTTCATGTAAATGGCATCAGCACTGGGAACGGAGACGAACATGTCACCTCCAACATGGGTGACTCCCTCAAACTTAGGTGCAGTGGCAACCACATGAGGCAAGTCAAAGTTGATGCCCTTGATGTGAGGGTAAGCCCTCACAATCTCAGAAATCGATCCACCAGTGCTCCCTCCCACATCAACCAAGGACTCAATCTGGTTGAATCCTTCTTTGTACCCATTGATCACAGCCTTGGATATAACCCTAGCAGTACACATCATCCCCTCATGGAACATCCTGTTGTACTCAGGGTCTACCCCCGTCAGCTCAAATTGATCATGCCCATGAGACCTAAAGAAAGCAGTGCCATTTTTTATGCCTTCTCTTATAATCTCACTCATGTGTTGAGCGGGGGTCAGGTGAACTGGGTGATTCTCCAGCAGGAATAAGGGTGCTAGCGTCATTTTTGTGTCTCGTAGGATCCATTCGGAAGCACTTGTCAAGCCATAAAGGGTCTCTCCAGTCTCTGACTGTTCTGCACTGAAGATCTTTCTGCGCACCATCAGTGTCATCACTCTCTGGAGAAGATTGGCATCTGGGGAGGGTGCATCTTCAATGTTCTCCACAATTTGAGACAAGGACAGTGGCTTACCATAGCGGTGTATTATATCGGGTATGCGAAGCTCAATGACACATTTTATGGCCAGAGAGTCAGTGTAGCATAGCATGTACCTCCATATTTCAACTTGCCCAAGCAATGAGTCTTCTTCCTCCTTGCTCAAACCCTGATTATAAATACAAATCTTTTAATGTGTACATGTTTTTGTTCTATACTTATAATTACTAAAATTAAACTCTTAATATAAACTTTGAAGGTCGACAGAAGAAAAGGTTTTGATGATATTATTATGTGCATGGAAGAATGAACAAGATTTACGTGTGTAGTGTTTCAAGTAATGCATGCAACAGGCTGAAAATTGTGCATAAGAGCAAAGCACACGTTAGCATATCTCTCTGTCTGCAAATTTTGAGAAACCAATTTTGAAATCTTAATACAAATACTGGGGGAAAAAAAAGTAATAACAGTTATTTGAGTGTGTGTGTGTGTGTAAATTGTAAACACGAGTAAGTGGCATTTATCAAGGATCTTCTTTCATTCTTTGTTTCCATTTATACTTTCTTTTTATTCAATTATTATTATTATTATTATTATTATTATTATTATTATTATTATTATTATTATTATTATTATTATTATTATTATTATTATTATTATTATTATTATTATTATTATTATTATTATTACTATTATTTCCTAACCTATGCTCCTACAACTCACCTTCGTGAATTGTATACACAGTAGATTTAAGTCTAGGTAAAAATATATATTTGTGATATAAATAATTTAATTTAGATATTTGATTATCCATATTTTCCTAATATTTTTAACGGTATTATTAGGATAATACATTTATCGAGTCTTATATAGATTATATCTTTCAAATATATTTTTCTCCTTTCACAATATTTGAATCCAAAATTTCATTTAAAGCATTTGAGTTTGGTAATATCTTGACGAATGACATGTTGATTATTTTTTAATAGTTTAATAATATGACTAAGTTAATTACAAATTAAAAAAAAGGTTATATAAAATACTGTGATAAAATTATATAATAGCAAAAACTGACACATTTTTGGTAATTAACGTTATCTAAGACAAATTCTATAACTCAATATTTGTTGTGTAATGTTAAATTACACTATTGTTCTTTTAGTTTTAAGATAAGCATCTTACTCTTCTTTATGTTCTTAAATAAAATGAAATTTACATTTCTTTTCTTTTAATTTTTAGATAGATATTCAATTTTTTATTTTTAATAAATATCAGTAAAACAGTAGATCAATAAAAATACCAACTTAATTAAATTATTGTAAAAAGTAAAACTTATTAGAATTGTATGTTTTATTTAAAAAAAAAACAAAATTAAAATTTCTTAGATCCAATTTATGTTTAATTAATGTTATCTGATTATTATCTTATAGATTATGCAAATATATAATATTGTTAGCTCCGTAAGAATTTTTTTTCAACAAAATAAACAAATCAAATTGACAAAGTCCGTTAAAAATAAAAGATTTAATATATATTTAGTCGTTATATTCTTCCTCTTGATTTTAGTTTCTATATTCTAAATATTGATAGTTAGTCCTTAAATTTTTAAAAAATATATGACTTTAATTATTTTATCAATTTTATTATAATAGAAAATGTTATTAAATATTAAATTTATATATAAAATGACTAAAATCATATTTAAAATTTTTACTAGTTCTTAAATATTAAAAAAAAATATCGTTAAATATTAAATTTAGGTATAAAAAAGATTTGCTTCATATATTTTCAAAAGTGTATGAAGGTAACATTATGTAATTGTTATAGTCTCTTAAAAATTAATATTCCAAAGCAAACAAACAAAAATTTTAAAGCATTTAAGTATTTAGTTTTTCATTCATGTTTTGATAAAAAAAACTATTTAAATTTTCACGTGCTCCCATGATGAGCCAGTTTCTAGTTAAACCATAAAAAAAGGTATTTTGTTTTAAATACATGCATTAAAAATTGGAAGAAAACGTTAACGCAAGAAGAGTTCATTAGTAAAAAAAATTCCTTTTTCGAATTAATGAAGAACATATGAGCGTTATTGTCAAGGTCCAATAATAAATAAATAAAAAATATGCTTTCCCGTGGAAACATTGCTTCCTTTATGTTTTTTTTTAGGATCTAATCGTTTAAGTTTCAAAAAAAATTGTTTCTGAGATAACTTTTTTCTTAATTTTTTTTTGTTTCAAAATTTATTTTTCTTATACTTAAAAAAAAAACGTTTTTTTCTTACAATAATAGATTATTATTAAATATTTTAAAGCATCTCTTTATAAATAAAAATACTTTCTTAGAAAAAGTTACCTTTCAAATTTTAAAAGTTTTCTCTAAAATAATTTTAAAAATAAAAGTTAATGTATTGAAATTAAGATTTTACTGGCACTTGGCAGTACTTATACAGTTCTCAATAATAATTCTTAAAATTCATTTTAAATACAAGTAAACATAAAAAACCAATGCTTACTTGACACATATTCTCCTGCATGAAATATTTTGCAAATACATAACCAGCAATGTAAGTTCAATGGTGCCCTCTACTGATTGTAATCACAGTTAATAATAAAAAAAAAATCCATTCCCAGAAGAATTTCTCAAAGTCCTTATTCTCTCATATGCATTGCTGCCTAGCGAGAGAGGTATAGAACCCGAACTGGGGAAGGCCACAAAACCATACTGGAATCAAAGTAACAAACCTCATATCTTATTAATTAATGACAAAGTTCTCATAATATGCCAAGAAGTTAATCAGTATAAACTGACTAAATGTAAAGAACCTTATGTAACATTTCATGAGCCTCATCAGAGACCAACTATATTAATTCCATCAGAAATCAGGAAATATGTGGTTCCTTCAACGAGAAACATCAAAATGGTTCCTAATTTTTCAAAATCTATGCATATTATGCACAATCACCCATGAGATTGATGCATATATTAATGGTTCTTGCTCAGTAATCACCAATGAAAACTATTAATGCCTATGACAATACGCACCATAAAGACATAAAAACTCTTACACCTTACCTGTATCTTTTCCTACAAAATGTTAGATGTATATATTAGCACAATAGTTAACCCAAAATACCAATAACTTCTGATCATAACGTAGTTATCAAACAAAATAGTGAGTCCATGTGCAATATATCTATTTGGTTAAAATATACAATATTGTCAGTAATATTAATATAATAAAGGGTGCATACTCTACAAAATTAGATAAGCAGGCAGAGAGGGATACAAGTCCCGTTATTAGGATTATTTTAGTGAGAATCAACCATATAGTTTGCTCTATTCTACGCACCTTGAATTCCGAAGGTGGGGAGTGATTGAAAAGAACAGTCTCCATATTCTGGGGAATATACACGAAATCAGACGTATGAACTTGGTGCTCAGTGCAGCAAGCCTTTCTCTTTCTTACAACTAGGCTTCCAGTTAGTGAGTTCAGTTCAGTGGGTGTGGAATGGCTTGGAAATGGGTGGTTAATAAAGATGATAGGGTAGCATGACGTGTGTTGTGTTGATTGCTTACACCAACTGATAGGGTGGATGCAGTGTGTGGTTGAGATTCACATCACAGATTTCCAGGAACGTGCATTTTAAATTATTGAGAAGCAATGATGCTAGGTGATGGATGAGTGTGTGGTGCAGATCACAACCAATAAAGTCTGGTTTCTGCTTTAGAACAATATCATTGGTACTGTAACGCCACATGTAATGTAACCTCTTGAATTTCAGCCAGATTTTATATTATCTCAGTCCTGATTTTGGAAAGTGACTCACTCCGATGCCACTCTTCTATCGTACAGTTTTCAAATAAGTATTATTGTTGGTAGATTATTGCCATTCTTCTATCATACATATTTAAAATAAATATTGATTGTTCATAGATCATGCGGGTCTTCTGTCATGCAGTTCCAAAATAACCATCATTATAAGTAGATCATGCCACTTGTCTATTATACAGTTTTGAAATAAACACCAGTGTTTATAGATTATGCCACTCACCAATTATTCAGTTTTAAAACAAACATCATCTATAAGTAAACATTATTATTGATGCATTATTTCTACAATGAACTTGAAAAAGATTTCAAACCATGTGTTATAAATAGAAAAGAAACTGACCAGCACACATGATAAATGACAAACCTGGTGGTCACATCTCCAATTTTGCACCATCTGAAAGTTGACACGTTAGAGGGACAGAGCATATATATAAACGTAAGCATTCAATAATTGCGACAGAAATAGGTGCTTTTGCGATGGCCATATCAGATGCCGAAGGCCAATGAAATCAAGACAACCTACTGCAATACAATGATGAATATGACTTCTCATCTCATGTCACTTAGTGTTCTTGTTTTTTTCCGATCAAAAGTATATAACAAAGGTTTAAGAGAATCAATTAATACAATACAAGGGTGCTGTTATTTTGAGATTCAATGCTCCATTCTACAACCATTAAATAATAATAAAATAATATTATAATAAGATATGTAAAAGGAACGAGAGTTGTAGGATAGATGTTTATGAAAAAAAGGTTGTGAAAATAAAGTTTCTCTCCAGTACAAATAGACTCTGAATCACTTGTGACCACAGTTGCAGTTACCACGGTAGTAATTTTTTTTACCGTAAGTGCAACGCCACTACAATTCAAGACCTTGTCCCTAAACAATAGAGACAAATTATGTATGTTATGTAAACAGATACACCTACCCTGGTTAACTGCATATGCTATGTGAACCAAATGGTGTACAACTCTCCATCCTATAAGATTTTGTATCCGTTGTCTTGTTAAATGAATACTTTCAATTGTTAAAAAATTATATTCCAAAACATTCATTCGGATAATAAGAGTGAGAATTTTGTAGAAGAAAATAGATATCCATTAAAGTGAGTATGAAATCAAGAGTTTAAGTTCCTATATCCTTTTCATATTTTCACCGGCCATTTCATTCCCCAATACTCATTCCAGAATGCAAGAAGGTGGATGATGATATTTAAAGAATGGGGAAGAAATAATTTAAAGAGTGTTTATGGGGATGTAGGAAGTTGAGCCCTAACCTAAAATCAGGTGATATATTGGACCGTCCGGGCTTGTCATCCCAGCCTGCCCAGCCCATTCCTTCCTTTGATACAAAATCCATTAACATTTCGGAAGAACATACAACGGCCTATTACTAACTGGGCCCATTACTAACTGGGCTTTAAGGTCATGAATCATATCAAAATCAGTAAGAGCTAGCTTTATGTATCAATATGTGAAGTGGGTGATACTGACCACAATTGCAGATACCATTGTAATTTTCAGCATTTTTCCTTACCAACAGCAATGCAAAACTCCAATTTAAGACCTTGTGTTGTCGGAACACACATGCATACACCTACTGTGATTATGCTTTCTGGGCCTATAGTTTGTAGTTTAATTAATAAGTCTGCTGCTTGTATCAAAGTGAGCATGAAATCATGGACTGGACCAGCCGAAGCCTGGTGCATAGCAGCCAGGCCCAGCCCATTCCGTCCGTTGAAACAAAATCCAGATATCATAAGGGCATGGCCTGTTACTAAGTGGGCCTTTAGATCTAGCCTAATGTGAAGTGGGGTAGAGATATTAGTGTTGTCACGGAACAGAAACAAGGATGTCTATACAGCAAGTAGTGTATAGACACAAACAACCTGGTTTATATAAAATGAAAAAAGAATTGTGTAAGAACTACCACCAGCACAAACAAGATGATTGCTATAAGTAGTCTTTATAAATTAAATACATGACCAATTAATCTCTTTAACCATGTCATATAATTGTTATATAATCTTAGCAATTGATGTGTAACTGTATCACCAATATTAACTCTTCTCAAGTCTGGCAGTCTCATTAGAATAGAAGTACAACAAAAAATATAGATGAAGAATGCATATAGGAGTGTTTCAGCTACAAAAACATAAAGGTGAGAGCTGCTCCATACTCAAACACTAGGAAAATCATCGGTGTTATTACACGCTCTGCAATTAGCATCATATAAACAAACGTTACAAGAGAGGGGAAAAAGTATCAGAGGAGGGAGCAATCAGTGTGAGATTATGTAGCTTCAGTTCAAAGACGACTAGTGATCATCAAAGTTGTTTTTTACCTTTGGTAGCTGACTAGCAGAAGATTCCTCCCCTTCCTCAAGTCTTAACCAACAAAACCATTTTAAGACAACAGCAATAAAAACCTTATCTCACTATATATGAAGTTCACTGCATGGATAACAAGATATCAACTCAGTCAAAGTAGAAATCCAAAAATAGTATTTACCATGAGATTTTCTTGATAACTTTAAAATCCTTGAACTCTCTCTTTTCGCAAAACTAAAAACTGCTACTTTTCTTAGTAGTGCCTCCGTGATTCATTATGGACGACCAACTCTAATAATCTTCTGTCCAATATCATGCTACACTTCAAGTTGGATTGTTTCCTGCTAATTCACCCACAAAAGCAAGCATCAAAACACAGATAAACCTTCTCTACAATCTTTTAAGGTCTTAAAAAAACTGGAGTAGAACACGAAAGCCATTTGAGTTAACTTGATGATATCTTGATCAACAAAAACAACTCTAAAAGGAAAGGATTTGAGTTAACTTGGCGTGCATTCCATACCTTATAGTACCATGCTGACCAGCTGAAAGCAATTTACAAGATCATCAAACATCCATCCAATGATCCAGGTGAAGTGCACTAGAATAACAAACAAAGAATAAAGAACGAGAAACAAAGTTGAAGCTAGCAATGGTCTTGGACGGAAAGTATTCAAAACAAGCTCCGCATAAACACCAGATTCACACACGTAACTACGAAGTAGAAACTGGCATTCCTCTTCTGTCCATACAGAAGCACTACTCCACTCTAACCATAAAGCTAATAATAGACACCAAGGTGTCAAAGCTTAATTTTGAGAGCTACCAACCAACCCATGAGGAATATCCTGAAATGTGTGCCAATAAGAGATCAAAAGGTGTGTGAATAGAAGTTAAAACTCCATTTTCATAGTGAATACACGAAAATCATTCGATCTGACGTTTAACTATTATTATAATAAAAAAGACACAATAGAGGTAACAAGGTGAGAGGAAAATGAGGCAGTGCAACAATCAGTTCACTACAGCTGTAACGTGTGTACAACATGCATAAGATTTGAAGCTTTCATTTTAGGATCCACGGCAGCATGCGTTGTCAAGCAAGTTGCATTGAAATTGGACTTGTCGTGGGTGTACGAAAGGATAAGGTATATCTTGGAAGCGAATCTTCTCGAGCCAAGTTGGTGGCATCATCGTTAATCAGCTTCACATTCACGCTTAGGACGACAGCCACAAGCTTCATCCCCGTACCCAATTAAACTCCCTTTCTTTCTTTTTTTCTGTAATATGTCAATCATTAAAACGCCAACAACTACAACAAGATTTAAGATTTTTTTGGGAATCCAAGGTAATTTTTCATGAGATAATTTTGCTGTATTCTCATAGGCTTATTAGATTCGGTTTATCTAATACGTGGGGACAGGTAAATATATATAATTATGAGCACGTAAAAATTATAAAAGAGAAAAACATACAAGTAAATGAATAAGTAAAACTATCTTGTATATAATATAATATAATATTAATATTTATAATTATAGGTAAGTTGTTTTGGGGGTCAACATATCAGCCTCTTTTTATAAACTATACAATTATCTTTTGAGATTATTGGTCTGTTTAACATATTTTTTAATGATATTTATTTAACAGATTAAAGATATACTTCTATTCTTGATTGATTGTGGTTTTAATAAAACTTTTATGCTTCAGTTTAATTTTAATTTTATGACACCATGATATATAATTTATGTTTTTAAGGTTCAAAGTAAATTATTTTTTAACATTTCTTGAAATTACTTATGGTATTTCTCTTTTCTTTTTATTATATATCACATGTCTTCAATTGTTTTAAAATATTATACTAATTAATAGCTTTTAATTGTTTGAAAAAAAATAAACAGCGTATATCCTCTTCATATGAGAGATTACTGTTTATGTTGTAAAAATCTTTAATTAGATCCCTAATCTAAAAAGATAAATAAATTAGAATTATTGGTCTTGTATAACTTGTGTAGTTGGGTCTAATAGAAATAAACTACAACAAATTACTATTTTTGCAGTGATCTCTAGTAGCCATAAATTAAAGTATACCGATTCAATTGGAGAGAATTAATTATTATTTTGACTAATTCAATTACAATTTTTAGTTTAGGTTTAATTATTAGTATTTTAAATTTAAAACTAACAATAGTTGACAAAAAGGTAACAAGACAAAGTGGATAGCGCACCTGCGAGGCTTCAAGGATAAAGTGGTCAATCCACACGAGAAAGACAAAATAGGAGGATAGAATAATAAGTATAAATTTGATACAAATATAAATAATATTACGTGATATTTCAAAATTATTTTATTATAAAAAATTATTTAGATATTATCTTAGAAACATTTGCATGAGATTTTGAGAATAATGGATAGATAAAGCTCAAAGTTATGATTGGGAATGCTGACATGACACGTAGCACCTTTCAAGACATTCAAAATGCCCCATTTACCCTAAAGAAACAACATAAATACTCCCAAATATAAATTAGTTGAAGACATGAAAATAAAAATATCTCTGTATAAATCTTCTTACAATATCTCATAAGGAAAAAGTTATATAAATAAATATATTTAACATCTTAAAAATAAAATATATTTAATTCTCATATATTAAAAACACGAGAATAAAAAAATATTAAAAAATTAAAACATTTCATTCGCAGAAAGGACTATCAACTTGTACGATGGAGAAAGCCACTTCACAAATCCTAAGATACGTGTCTACTGATGTTTCCTCACGAAAACCAACATCAGTGCCAAATGTCAACACACATGGTGGTTGCTTTTTGAAGTTTCTTTCAATCAATAAGGACACAATCATTGTTTTCTATTTCATGTAGTGTTTTTCTTTTTTATTTATTGTTTTTTTCCTTAATGTCCTTTTCATGTATATTTTTTTTCATAATTACTTTATTACAAAAAGATATAATAAAATATTTTTATTTGATTAAAATTTGTTAAAATATATATAAATATATTTTATTATTATATTTTAGTAAATATGTATTTAATTTATAATTAATTTCCTAGATATATATTTACTCTTTATCCTTTAATATTAATTTATATTTGTTATCGTATTCAATTATGTTAAAATTTATCTAATGTGATGTACCTATCAAATTTTTCTAACTCTTTATTTTATCTCGTGTTTTAATCCATAGAAAACAAAATTATATTTTTCACATAATTTGTGTGGCATGTTATGGAGACACTTAGAAATTTCATCACATTTTTATTATTCCAAAAGTCTTTATAGATTTGTGCCAAAAGTTTTAAAATTAAATTTCAAAAATATCAAATGTATGTATAGGTTTTCAGTAATTTAAAAAAAATCCAAAATTTCCAATATTAAAAAAAGTGTGTAAAATACTGTTAATATTTTTGAGACAATTAAAAAAATATTTAACAAAAAAAAACTTATTAAAAAAATAAAATAAGAAAAATATTATTAACAAATTTAGAAGTGGGGTGGGAAATGTATCATATTCAATTTGATGATAAGTAAGTTAATCATTGACACCTTCACATGTATAAGTTTTGGTAGGAACCCTGTCACAAATTCATTTTAACTTATGTTGAAAATTTTGTGGCCCATTCCAAATCTTTCTTTAAGATCACTCCACGTGCCAAGAATTACTTTTAATTTAAGGCTCTCTTTCTTGGTTTGCTTTTTCTAATTTGAATTAGAAAAAAACTATATATATATATATATATATATATCACGTCATTATTTTTTATTTTATTTCATATTCATTTTAAATTTCATTTAGGTTTCATCAATAAAATAATTAAAATAACTTATTATAACCAAGTTTAAAGTATTTAAAGTGTGTAGTAATAATCTTATAAATATGTAAAATATATTAGGAAAATTTAAATTTGCATCATCATTATAATAAAGAATCATTACTACATTTAAATCCAATTATACCATTTACGAATTTTGAAGTACGAATGAAAAAAAAAATAATATATATATATATATATATATATATATATATATATATATATATATATAAAGAAAATATACATTTATATTTTTTTTCACATAGTACTATTTTTTTTAATTAATAAAGAAAGTTATTTAAGGTTTTCTTTTCTTTTACAACTAATACAAGTAATTTATTTTAAGATTTGTTGAAAAAATATTGAATATCTAAATTAATTATGAAATTATAATATTAATTTAATATTAACAATATTTTTCTAATAATTAATTATTGATAAAAAAGAATAATAAATTACAAAATTACTTCTTCTACTACTAATAAATAAACTACTAAAACAGTAAAATCATTGATAATAATTTCTATAAATATTTCTATAGTAAAAATGAATTTACTATAGTATTTTCTAAATCAATATTTTAATAATATTATTAAATCTATGTTAACATAAATTTCAAATAATGAATAATTATTATTGCTCATAATTAGTTAATATTATTTTTTTAATAAAAATTGTTTTAATAAAAATTAGTATTAAGCACAATATTTAGTATTATTTTTAGTAATTATATTAAATATATTAATTCTAAAAATATAATTATTAAAATTATTATTTTCAATTACTTTTTAAAATATATGAAAATTAAGAAAAACAAAAATATATTTTTATACTAAACTTTATGAAAAAAATTATTAATAATAAAATTTACATTTTATTCATAATAATTATATTAAGTTTTATTAATTCATTAATAAATATAATTACTAATTTTTTTTCAAAATTTTAAAATATTAAAAAAAAAAACACTCCTGGGTTGTTGGGTCTAATTCTAGCTTCCTAGAACAAAAGGGTCTACCCCATAAATAAATAAAAGTAAAATGGGGAATTATTTTTTCCAAACAAGTTTATGTTCGAAAAAATTTGCCAACATGTGTGTGAAAGTGGACCCTATATCACATATAAGTTAATTATTAGTAAAGTTTGTTAATTTATATGTTAATGTTTTATAAGTAAATATAATGTAGGACAGAAAGAAAAAAAAAAAAAGTTCCACATGTAAGATCACTTATACTTAGTCACTTATGGTTAGGGATGGCAAAACGGGCCAGGCCGCCAGGTCAGCCCACGAGCCGTCATAATATGGCGGGCGGATTAGTGTTTTCACAACCTGCTTTGTCCCACCCTGCCAAGCCTGCCAACTCGCTGGGTCAACTCGCAGGATGGGGCGGGCCAGCCGTGGCCTGCCTAATTAATAAAAAATAATTTTTTATTGTAATAAAAATTAATTATAAAGATAATATATAAAGTTAAAAATTTCAAAAAGAGAATTAAAAAAGTTTCACTCTCACATAAAATATTTTCCTTACTCGAAACAAAACTTTTTCTCCTGTTCTCCTTGTTCTCCTTATTCATCTTAAACATCGATTATTTTTATTCTTATGACTTGAATTAAAGGTGTAAGAATTACTCAACCAAGAATAATGTGAAGTTTTATCAAATAAAAAATATATAGGTATTTAAAATTTTCAATATAAAAAATATAAATTTTATAAGTTTTAACGTATATATATATATATATATATATATATATTTGTTATTATTTATTATTATGTAAATTTTATTATTGTTCTAAATTATAATTTCTTAAAATAATATATTGATTTATATTATTAAATTGAAATAATATATATATATATATATATATATTAAATTATTGACAAACAAATAATAATCTTATTATTAAATTTATTAAAAAAAATATTTTAAAAAATAAATTATTTTTTCTAAATTATTATGGTCGATCTATAGCTGCTAACCCGCCTCATAGTGAAGCGGACCAAGGTTCATAATCCGTCATGACTATATCGAGGCCAGCTACCTGTCCCGCTTTGACGGCTAAACGAGACAGTTGGCCCGATTTGACATCCCTACTTCTGGGCCACAACCGTCAGTTTCAACGTTCAACTATGAACGACATCGCTTTTGTAATTTCATATGGTCCAAGTCCTTTATTTTGGGCCCACTATTTCAGTTTCAAATATAATGAGTTGTTTTATATATTCACAATGTGATTTATAATTTTTATTTTTGAATAATTTATATTTATTTTTTAACAAAATCAATTTTAAATAATTAAAAATTTTATATTTTAATTTAAATTTGATTATGACACATAAGAATATTTATTAATAGAAATTAATTATAAATTCATTATTAAACAATAAAAAACACACTATAAAATATTAATATAGATAATTAGAATTAGATACCAAAAATGGTGAAAAATAAACAATTAACACAACACTTGTACTTAAATAATTAAAATTAAAAATCATTTTTATATAAGTTAGGCACAATTATTTTGTCGTGATAGAATTACTCCTTAGACATGTAAATTGTACCCTTCTTTCTGTAAGACACTGAACAAACTTATGTTGGATTCTTCAATTTTAACGTTTGACATTGAAAATGATGAGGATGTACATATTTTAAGATTTATCGGAAAACATTTCATCATTTTGGTTAATCTTTTAACGATATTAAATATGTTCAATTTTTTTCTTTTGAATCTTATAAAAAATAATCTTATATGCGAAAGTCATAATATCTATTTTTTTTTACTTTAATCTTTTTTATTTATTATTTGTTTGTAATAGGTGTTAAACTTAAAAAATGTTGGTCATCTTAATTGAGTTTATTATCCTCTTTGCATTGTTGTTATATGTTTATTTGATTTATAGAGTCTAATAAAAATCTCTGCCATATTTAATCACAATTCATTTATAATTATATTTTATGAATTTTAAAATATTTACAAGTTTCTAATATATTAGGTTTATTTGAAAATACTAATATAAAAAAATAGTAATATTTGGATTAGTTAGGGTGTTGGTACAAATTTGGTAAGTTAAAAAAAAAGTTTTAAAATTACTGATTAGAATAATGTTTAAATTTTTATCAAAACATTGCATAATATTCATGGAGTACAACTTCCTTTTACATATATATGCTAGTCTTCTCTCGTATTCCTCTTATCTTTAAAATCTAAATAAGAAAGATTAATAAAAATAAATAGATTAAATGTTTTTTCTTCATGATTTATATTTTTGGTGCTTTTTAATTTTATTTTATAAAAACTTTTATCAACTCAGGAAATTTTTTTAATAGTATACGTCCTTCATTTATATTTATATTTTTTTTATTTTGTTTCATTACGACGGTATTTCATGAAATCTTAATGAGAAACAAAATTTTATAATAAATTACAACGTTAGATTCTTTTTATGTCATTTATATTATTGGTATAAAATTATATATATATATATATATATATATATATATATATATATATATTTATGTTGCTTGTATTTATATACAGATTATGAGATCAATATAGAAATTTAAAAATACTTTAGATTTATTAAATTTAAATTTTTTTTATATATTTAATTTTATCAAATTTTGTAATTAACATCTTAATAATAGTTAATTTTATACTTTATTTTTTAAATCGTGTTTCTTGACTTCAAGTGAATGTTTGTTATAAAATAGTTATTTTGTCCAAGAATCACAGGTTTAGGTCATAATGAATTATATGAATTATTATTCATAGAAATAATTAAAATAGGTTTCGTAAATCATAAATATGTTTTAAAATATTTGTATAATTTTTTTGAAATAAAATAGAATGTGATGATATCTAAAATATAAAATATTTTTCTATCAAATTATATTTTTTACAGATAAACGTTTCTATATAAAATCCTATTAAATTGGGATTTGTAAGTTGGTAAGTTTCTCAACTAAAATTCCTAATCAAATATATAATATTTTATTATTATTATTATTATTATTATTATTATTATTATTATTATTATTATTATTATTATTATTATTATTATTATTTTAAATTTAAGATTGGAAGTTGGAGGGAAATGTAGTATATGCAGAGAAAGTAATAGTGAAAAATATTCTCCCAAGAATTGTGGAAACATTTGTTGTTAATTAAAGCAATAATAAATGACAATATGAACGAAAGACTATTTTCTTCTAGAAATTAAAGGAAACAATATAGACTTTTCATTGAATTCACTGTATTAAAAAAAAAATCAATGAAACACAATATCTATTCATAGCATTCAACTAGTTTTCTTCGAGAAGAAAATTGTAAAAACCAATAATAATAATAATAATAATAATAATAATAATAATAATAAAAAAACTAAAACGTCATTTTCAGGGAATGTCGATGTTAACAATTATTAGGGCCTGGTCAAATGGTCAATAAGAAGCTTCGTTTGCCATTTTTTTTTTTTTTTTATGTACGTGTCCTTCAAACTCAATGCGTAGACACTCCAACTCAAGGTAAAATAAAATGAATTTTATTAATTATGAAATCAAGAAGTATTTATTATTTTAACTAATATCTACGCACGAGTTAAATTTGAAAATATTTTCTAATAACCATACAGTAATTTATCATTTTAATTCTAAGATTTTTTTAAATTATATGAATTTTATATTTTATTAATATTTACCATTTTTTGTTAACGTGATAGTAGATGATGATTAATAATTAATATTGTGTAACATATACATCAATAGGACTTAATTATACTTTTAAACTTTCAAGAGCATGGGACGAAAGATTAAAAAATAAATCTTGCTGACATGTCTCACACATTAACAAATAGGAAGTTCATTTCATGTTACTAGAATTCACCAAATATTTACTTAACAACTACAAGGGATAAAACGGTATTTTGCATAATAATTTATGCAATTAAAATTTTGATTCTTGAAGAATAGAATTGTATATATGTGATTGTGGAAACCAAAATCTTTCTTCTTTTTGAATATTTTGTTGTAAGAATTAACTGTATACATATAGTTACTTAAAAAGTATAGCAACAGTAGTAGCCTTTGTGGCACGTGCACAACAACCAACCACACTATAAATAAAATTATATTTCTCTTATAAGCTAAATCATACAAAAATTTACACTTTGTAAACACAACAAAAGGTGCGCACGCCAAGTACGAAAACCAACGAAATAACGGTCAACAGTCAAACAACCTTTTACACAAGTCTATACCAAACCCCCAAACGCGTGACAGATTTATATAGAAGAAAAACATCACTTGCAATTTGCAAGCACAGACATTAATCCTGAATCAAAAGCCGTGTCTGGGTTTTCTTTCCACTTTCAATATCACAGTGCGTGTATGTGTGTGTGAATGCTATATTTTGAGGCATCATGAGCACACTTGTTCGCAACACCACCCTCACCTTCAGCCGCAGACGCAGATACGAGATTCTGGGTCTGCAGGGCAAAGACAAGATGCTCAAATCCATCAGCTACAGACGCAGAAGGGCCAAGCAAAGACAAATCTTTCTCACTACCTACAAGCTATCTTCCTTGGACAGTAACACTTTTGTGGAGCCACAAAAGCCTAAGCTAAAGCTGAAGAAGGTTGCTATTAAGGTCAAGAAGATTATGGCCTCGGTTTTGATGTTCATGCGAGTTGGTTCTGTCAGGTCCTGCGGTTCTAGTTCTGCTATTTCTGATGCATCTTCGCCAGTACCTAATAGGAAGAACTTTTGATGATGTTGCTGGTTCTTCACGGGTTTAGGATTATTTATAATTTCTATGTTGCGACACTGTTCTTCTTCTCAATCTTTGGTGCTCTCTATCTAGGATTTAAGAAGACCAATAAGCAAGTCAAGCAGTAATTGTTAGTATATTTATGTGGTAGATGACCATGGATGGAAAAAGGGGTGATCAAATATTGTGTATATAATGCTTAATCTAATGTAGAAATTGATTACTTTCATCTCTTGTTGGGATTTTTCTTTTAGCTAAATAATATGTCCTATTTCTATGTTCTACCACTTCAGCATTTTCAAGACTGACTATTTAAGTATTATTTCATTTTATTCCACTTGGTATTTTTGTCCTTCGATTATTTACCTTTTAGTGTTGATATGAAAGCTTTTGAAATCAGAAAGGATAAAACTTTGGTTGGTGTGGAAGCTGAGAATCCAAATGGGGTCATTAACTTTGGTTTTCGACAGGAAAAACAATGCAAGTATAAAGCTTTTAGAATTGGTTTGTAATCCAAATCAGCCTTTCTTCTCGAAATTCGATTTCAATTCCCATTTTAATTAGAGAACAGAGTGAAAATGACTTAAGAAACTGTGTCTTTCTGGAATTAGCTTAAAAATAATAATATGGGATAAAAGGGTTTTAAGGAAGTTGACCCCAAATGGAGATAGATGTTATATAGCGGAATTTTAAAGCATGAACAAGGCTTCATCGCCATGTAACTTGAGGAATATGTATAGACCCTGATGCAGGGGAAGTCAATGGAATGAAAGAAAGAAAGAAGAGAAATAAATTAATCTATATGTATGGGTAGTAGTATTTTGTCACAGCTTTACCAATGCATTTCCTTACTTTCTGAGATTAACAAGTTCTCTCCCTCTCGAATTTTTTCTAATTTCTATATTCTTTTATAAAGAATTTAATTTATATTTTTTTTTAATTTTAATATGCATTTAATGTTCTTAACTAATGGCTGTTAGCAGTACCTAAAGAAATAAGAAAAAAATAGATGTAGGAGTGCAGCCAGATTTACAGTGTATTAAATGCACCGTATATGCTTTTGTTCAAAACTTTTTTACTAGCCATATATTTGCCGCAGCTAGGACTTTCATTCTAATTAAAAAAAAAAAAGGTCCTAAACTTTGAAAATTTAGTTTTTTTAGATGAATTTTTATTGGTAAAATTATATTCTAAATTTTATAATAACAAAATTTAAAACATTATATATTTCTAAATGTATTTATTCAATATTTTTTTAGATTTTTCAATTCACGAGACTTCAAAATCATTTTTTTATAACAAAAATATTATTTTCTTTTTAAATAAATATGGGATATAAGAAAAAAAAACTAGAGGTTTGCAGGAAGTGCACCTCCTTAAACACCGAAGATAAACAATGTGGGCCTCCAGCCCAGTCCCTAGAAATAGGAAAAGCATGGACTATACATACATAGCCTATATATAGGGTTTGCTTGAGTCTATTTGTGTCATCTTTTAAAAAAGTGCTATCTTTTTAGAAAACGTGTTATTCATACCAAAATTTTACTTACTTTGTTCATTGTTAACTTTCGTTAGAAATTTTTGTTCGTCATTTTCAGTGAAGTTTTCTCTCTCAACTACGTTTTCAAAAAAGTGATATCATGGTCACTCAAAATGTAATTTAGTTTTACATTTCTTTTATATTGATAAAATAAGTCTTTTTCTTTTTATTCAGTCACAAATACAACAAAAGTTTTATTTTGAAAGAGAGTTACACTTAAATTTTTTCACAGAAGTAGCTCAAAATAGCTTATAAACTTGATTACGTTTTTCTGAATACAACTTTTTAAAAAACTAAACGAACTCACTAAAAATGTTGAAAACATTAAAAAAAAAAAGATTGGAAAATTGTTAATTTAGCTAATAAACTAGCTTAAGTCTCATAAATTTATAGTTGAAAACTGATATATTAAAGTATTAACTATTAAAATTGGATAAAATTTGTTGTTGAAATAGTTTAACAATGATATAAAAGCTGACATTTTAAATAAAATATCTTATTAAAAGTTAAACTAAATAATATGATATTAACATAGATATATGAAAAAAATAACCAAGAGTTAAAATAACCTATGTTTTAAAACGGATTAATTTTTTTCTTAATCTATATTAAATAAACGAACTAAATATTAGATTATTTAAGACCTTAAGTCATTGAAAACAATTTACTTTTCAAGTAATATAAGATTAACAAACAGTTGTTAGGTCTTTTAATTTATTTTTAAAGTAATATAAGATTAAGGAATAATTATTTAGTCTTTTGAGAATCAATTTACTTTTAAAATAATATAAGATTAGGGAACATTTGTTGGATCTTTTGAGGAGGATTCATTGGGGAGAAACAATATCAATGAGACATGAACCCAACGCATATAAGAGATTGACACTACTATCAACAAAAACCTTAAGGTATTGGGTATTTATTCTTTATATGTTTTTTAACTTTCTCATTCTTACACAATGTGGGATATGAACCCAACACACATAAGGGATTGACACCATTCTCAACAAAAAACCTTAAGGCATTGAGTTATGATGCTCAACTTTTTTATTCTTACACAATGTGAGACTTAGACTCACTAATGTGGGTTAGATAATCCAAATATGATTTTAAGTCTCACATTAGGTAAGAATGAGAAAGTTGACCAACATATAAGGAAGTATGACCTATAACCCAATACCTTAAGGTTTTGGGTTAAGAGCGATATTAATCCTTATGTTTTCATTGGTGTTATCTCTTCCCAGTGAATCCCCTTAAAAGGGTCAACAAGTAGTATCAGAGTCATCATTGATGTTGTCTCTTCCCGGTGAATCCCCTTAAAAGGGTCAACAAGTAGTATCAGAGTCGTCATTGAAGTTGTCTCTTCCAGGTAAATCCCCTTAAAAGGCCCAATAAGTAATATCAGAGTCGTCATTGAAGTTGTCTCTTCCCCGTGAATCCCCTTAAAAGGCCCAATAAGTAGTATCAGAGTCGTCATTGATGTTGTCTCTTCCCCGTGAATCCCCTTAAAAGGGCCAACAAATAGTATCACAATCGTCATTGATGTTGTCTCTTCCCAGTGAATCCCCTTAAAAGGTCCAATAAGTAGTATCATAGTCGTCATTCGTTGGTGAATCCCCTTAAAAGGGCCAACAAATAGTATCACAATCGTCATTGATGTTGTCTCTTCCCAGTGAATCCCCTTAAAAGGTCCAATAAGTAGTATCATAGTCGTCATTCGTTGGTGAATCCCCTTAAAATGTCCAACAAGTAGTATCAGAGTCGTCATTGATGTTGTCTCTTCCCCGTGAATCCCCTTAAAAGGGCCAACAAATAGTATCACAATCGTCATTGATGTTGTCTCTTCCCAGTGAATCCCCTTAAAAGGTCCAATAAGTAGTATCAGAGTCGTCATTCGTGTTGTCTCTTCCCGGTGAATCCCCTTAAAACGTCGAACAAGTAGTATCAGAGTTGTCATTCGTGTTGTCTCTTCTCGACGAATCCCCTTAAAAGGTCAAACAAGTGGTATTAAAGTCGAATATACATATATTTTATAATAAAATAATATTATTCTTATTTTATTTTTAAAATAATTATTATTTTATAAAACAAGTCATAGTTTTGATGTTCCTAGTAAGAGTCGGAGGGATAACTTGACCAAAAATTGTATATATGTAAATAAATTTCTATAATTTAAACAAAGTGGTGTAGGAATAAATAAATTAATTAGAAGGCAAAATAAGAATGAAAATACACTGAAATCGAGTCAAATATATATAAATTAAATAATATTATTCTTATTTATTTTTAAAATAATTATTATTTTATAAAATAAGTCATAATTTTGATGTTCGTAGTAAGAGTTGGAGGGATAACTTGAACAAAAATTGTATATATATAAATGAATTTCTATAATTTAAACAAAGTGGTGTAGGAATAAATAAATTAATTAGAAGGCAAAATAAGAATGAAAATATCCGAGAAGAATATATATAAAGATATAAAGATATATACGAGATATTTATAAAAGGTGTTGGAGGTATACACATGAAAAAAAGGAACATGTGAGAAGTGACAATAAAGGTGTGATGACAACCACTACAAAAAAATTTCATTTGTGACAGTTAAAATTGTAGATTTTAAGAGTTAAAAACCGCTACAAATAAAATTTGTAGCATAAGCTGTCATATTTGTGAATGTCAAAAACAATTTGTGGCAGAAATTTTTTAAATACTGGTATTTATGTCAAAAAAGAAAAAAAAATCAACAATTAAAAACCGTCACAAAATACATTATTATTCACATTTTAATTTAACATTTTGTTACAATTTGAAATTGTTACAAATGTTATTTTTATGATTATTTTTATATTTTAACAATTAAAAACTGCTACAAAATATATAATATTTTATAATTATTTAAATCTTATTGGAGACTTAAGAAATTGCCAAAAAATTTTCGATGCTTGTAGTTTGTCAAGATATGAGACATTCAGTATTTTACAACATAATTCCTTAAAAAATAAGCAAAACTCTACCAACAATGCAATCACATGGTCAGGTAAAATATTGCGTATAACTATTGGAAGTAAATGTTGCGTAAGGATGTGACAATCATGACTCTTGAGTCCAAATATCCTAGAGTTTTCACCATCAATGCAACGAGATATGTTACTTGAGTAACTATCTGACATTTTTACATTCTTTAATGTGGTGAGAAATATCTTTCTTTGATCTATTGTCATTGTAAATAATAAAGGAATATATTTTCCATTTTCATCTGGACAAAGATCTTCCTTTATCCCCATATCTTGTAAGTCTTGCCGAGCTTGTAGATGATCTTTTGATTTTCTCCTTTGAGTATAGTATACAATACATTATCACACGCATTCTTGTCAATATGCATGACATTAAGGTTATGTCGTAAAAGATTATCCCTCCAATAAGGAATATTGAAGAATATGCTTTTTTTCTTCCATTGGTTCCCTCTACTCTTTGACTGAAGATTACTATCAAAGGTTATGACATCAAGTTGTTTCATGATTTCTAACCCAGATAATGATTTTGGTGCTCCTCTTTCCTCAATTGTTCCATCAAAGTATTTCTTCATCAATCTAAATTTATGACTCATTTCTTAAAATCTTCGATGACCCATGAAACACCATTTGTTACTACGTCTTAGTCGGCAAGGTGCTATATCAAAATTACAAGTTGGGCAAGCATAACCAGTATAAGTATTCCACCCAGATAAAGTACAAAGTCCAGAAAAATCACTAATTATCCACATGAGAGTTACTCGTATTATAAACATTTTTTTAAAAAAAGCATCATAAGTTTCTGCACCTTCTGTCCATAACTCATTCAACTCTTTCACTAGAGGTTGTAGATACACATATATCTTGTTCCTTGGCATTTTTTTTCCTGGGATGATCATAGAAAGAATAAAAGAAGATTGTTTCATGCACTCCCAAAGAGGTCGATTGTATGGAATTAAAATCACTAGCCATATACTATGACTATTATTCATGGTTCGATATGGATTGAAGCCATCAGTTGTAGGCCAAGACAAACATTTTTAGGTTCTAAAGCAAACTCAAGATGAAATTGATCAAAACTCTTCCATGCTTTAGCATCTCTTGGATGCCTCAATAGTCCATCCTGGTTATTGTTTAAAACATGCCATCTCATAGACTTTGCTGTTTTTGGACACATAAATAATCTTTGCAGCCTTGGCTTTAAGGGGAAGTATCATAAGACCTTTGTTGGTATTTTCTTTTTGCTACTAGTACCTTTTTCTTTCCATCTAGATTTCTTACAATATTTACAACTCTCCAATTTTTCATCTTCTCCCCAATATAACATGCAAATTTTTTGGCAAACATCTATCTTGGTATAATTAAGACCAAACTTATAAATCACCTTCTTTGACTCATAAAATGAAGTAGGAAATTTTGCATATGAAAATGCATATGCGAATAACTCTAAAATCATTGTTATAGCCTTATCAGTCGTACCACACAAACATTTTATATGATACAACCTTAATAAAAAAGACAACTTCGAAAACTTTTTGCACCCTTCATATAACTCTTGATTTCAATCTCTAAGCAAATAATCATATTCTTCACATTCTTCATTGGACATGGTTTCTACAAACTCAACTTGTTCATCACACATGTTAGACTCTACATCATGTTGTCTATTCCTCCCAAATGTATCATTTATCATATCTATCATTGGAATTCCATTTTGTAATGACACATTTACTACTTCATTGTCCCTTGGTGCTATTGTTTCATATGTCTCCCCATGCTAAATCCAGACTTTATAATTTGTTGGAAATTACTTGCAAATCAAGTGGTCAAACACACATTCTCTAGTTTCCCATTTGTCATAGTGACATTTAGGATATGGACAAATTATTGTACCATTGACAGATCGATTCTCAAATGCAAAATCTAAAAATCTATCCAGTCCATCCAAATATTCAATTGTATTCTGTGGCATATCAATCCATGATTTATCCATTTTTATATCTGTCCAGCGAAGTAAAAAATAATTAAGTTGCAAAAATATTTTATATATCCTTTATGTACATAACCAAGGTATAAAAGATACATTAATATCTCCTATGCTCTATATATAATAAATTCATATTTTATCCTAATGAACCATATCTATAAAAACAAATAATAAAAACAAACAAATGATTTTCAAAGAGAAACATTACCTTTTAGTGAATATATGACTGAAACTCTATCCTTATAAAAAAAATATAGCAAAAGAATTCACCTTTCTGTCATCCAAAAAAAATTGCATTATTATAGCCTGCAAGAACTAAAAAAAAAAAAAAACATCAGACAGAGATGAAGAAAACATAGTGCATGTGATTATCCAAGTAGATAGAAGTCAATAAAAAATCATTGTTTCTACCATTACAAGGATTATCCAAATGGATATATACAAGTTTTGGTTGGGAAACCACAAAAACTATCAAGAGAGAATAACCTGAACTAATTCTTATGTGACATGTGGTAGTCTAAACTGGAATACATATATAAAACAAATCGATTCACACTAATTAATAAAATTAGTAAACAAGTAATCCCTAAACCCAAAATTCCAAATCAATCGGAAGAAAAACATTACCTCTATTCAATCTAAGCTAACTGTTGTGGTAATCGAAACAAATTTGAAGCAAAATATCTAGGAAATTCTACAGTTAAGAGAAGCGAAAATGGAAATGCATCAATGCATATTCTAGAGCTTCTGGCTAAGTATACAAAGTTGGGTCTACCATTCGTTTCACCGTTACCTCTATTTTCTTCCGATCTTTCTTTTCTCCTTTGCTTCCTTGTCTCATCTATCCTTCTTTGCCTTCAGCCTGGCTTTGAGTGTTTGATGAACTCTACGTGAAGTGGAAATAGAGCAAAAACAAAGAAAATGAAATAGAGCAAAATCAAGGAAAGTGAAACAGATCAACGAAGAAAGAAAAAAAAAATTACCTTCCATGGTGGGATTGGTATGAAAAATTTGCAGGCTTCAATAAACAATAAGAAATGAAAGTTCTATGAAGTAATTGTGAGAAAGTATAAATGTTTTGGAGGTTAGTAAAAAAGATTTTAAAAGATAATAATTTTAATTTAAATTAAATTTAATATATTGTTACTAATTTTTAAATTAAAAAACTAAATTAATTATTATCAATAAAAATTGTAGCAGTTTGAAATTTTTGTCAATAATTATATAACTTTGCGAGGGTTTATAAAAAAAAAAAAAACGCCTCTACTAATTAACTAAATTTTTGTAGTAAACAACAGAAAAAAAAACCAAAATAAATAAATTTTATGTTTATAATTAAAAAAAAATATATATATATATAATATAAAATATATTATCAAATTAATTTATTATATATATATATATATATTTTCTAATAAAATAATATTACTCTTTTTTTATTTTTAAAATAATAATAATTTTATAAAATAACTCAGCCCATTAAACCTTAAGCCATGATCTAGTTCGAACTAAAATTTACCACTTCTATTTAATACTTGAACGAAAAAACAAGTGAAAGGAATTGAAATAAGGACCTCTTTTTTTTTTGGTCGGAATATCTTTGTATATATATATATATATATATATATATATAACTCAAACAGAATCTAAGATGTTAAGGGTCGATGTTTTATCTAAAAAAGTCCTTGTAAGTGGACCATGATCACAAAAGCATTCATTAACTTTTTCTACGAAAATTTTGAAATAATTATATAAAATTATATTTTATTTTATAAATAAATTATGATGTTTTATTAACCGTCTCTACTTGATTATATCTATAAATTTTATAAAATAAAAAAAAGTATATTTTTAATATATTTTAACAAACTTCAAAATCAAATTTATAAAAGAATCCTCGAAAGATAATTCTTAAAATATATATTAAATTATATTATGTATCTAAATAGTCGTTTTA